AGCCATTCTACTGTTGAGGGAACCCACTGAGGTTTTTTTTTTTTAATCTCATCTACTGAGTCCTTTATTAGTGGTACGTCTATTTGTAGCTTTCTTATTTCTACTCTCATTTTTTCCTATATTTTCTTGGATGTCAGTTCCACTGTTTCTTTCATGTCCTCCTTTAACTTACTGGATGTCTGTTTCACTGTTTCTTTGAATTCATTGATCATCCTCAGCATTTCATCTCTCAATTCTTTATTGGGGAGATCGTACTGGTAAGAGTAAGTTGATGGAAGGAGTTGTTGATGATTAATAATGCCAAGTAGAGCGAATTTTCAGAGAATGAAACACAATGGGCTTCTTTGACTCCATTAAAATCAACATGCCCTGTGCAGAAAGAACCTCAGGCAAATTTCCAAATATTTACTGCAGCCCACCAGAGTTCCATTCATGAGGGAAGGGTGTTTCACTTTCCCAGCTGTGATTGGCAGGGTACCTGGGATTAATGGTTTTATTTTCTGATATCTAAAAATCAGTGTTAAAATAAAAGTCAGCTTGTTACCAACCCAGGCAGGCTTACAGCTGTGAACAGTTATTGTAAAATGTAGTTTAGGTTCTATATTGGTTGCTATGCATGAGTAATTGAGCATTTATTTATAGCAGGTGCCAAAATGAATTCCAAAGTAGGGTTGTTACTGAAGCAAAACTACAGTGTTTTATTTTCATTATGCATGAGGCCAGTGCTGAGGGGGGAATCTGAAGAAATTTTAATTAGCTGCTTAATATTTGATGAGTAAAATTCACTATTGGGTGGTTATTCTCTGAGTGTCAAAGAGATCATGTAGGGACCAGGAGAGCCTGTATCGCCTGCACAGGGGTTCACGTTCAACCCTGGCAGTGTGTGTTTCTCTTCCCCCGCCCCCCACCACCCCCCAGCACTGCCAGGTATGGCCTGAGCACTTCTAAGGTGGCCCGTGAGACACCAAGCACCACTAGGCCCAAGCAACACTATGTTGCTGGCCCCTGTATTGGACTGTCTTTCTTTGCCGCGCATCAAGGTAATGACCCTGGGCCACTGAGCACTGTTTGGGAGCTACACCTAGTAGAAGAATTGCATCATTTTATATATAAAAGCCAAATTGCACTAACTCTACCCTTAGGAGATTATTTTCAGCCTTTCCCCACTGTCAGAAAGTTAGGCAAATAAGGTGAATTGTTTTTCCACAACAGAAATGAATGTGTGCATCCAATATGTGGCAGGCTGCACTGCAGTCACTCGATCACCATCAGCTGCACCCTGCAACTGACATGACAGCTACACAGGGAAATGAGTCACACTGTTTACTTCATGGTTTTGAACAGTTAATGCCTCCCAGCACATCTTGTAGCCTTATTCTCTCTCTTGGAAGGAACTGAATTTTGGGTCTTTTCAAAAAATCAAAAATATCTCTATGAAGAACCAAAATTTGCTTCTTAGATAAAATAAAGAAACCCTCCCTGTATACACAGGTGCACACACACATGTATGCATGCATGCGTCCTCACACATGCACATGCAAGTCCACAAGGCAGAACTCTTGCGGGTCCCATCAGATGAGGAAGGTTTCTGCTGCAGGGAATGGAGTTCCTCAATGAGGGCAGATGTCTTCTGGGAACCCCAGCTTTTTCCTCAGAGATGCACCATGCAAGTTTCCAGAGGGTTCGCTTTGCCCTGTTGGGGCTGGTCCATACCCCACTGTCAGCAGGTGTGCTGTTTCCACGTGCTTTGTACTCACGCCGGGCTGGAGAGCTAGCTCCCGAGGGGACTGAGTGACTGTCCCAGCCACTGGTGCCATGCTGAATGATAGTTCCCTAGACACCTGGGAACTGCTGGGGAGAACAGTAACTCTGGCAGGGACCCAGTGCTGCCCTGATTCCATCTCCAGCACCTCGTGGTCCCCAGGATGACCTCCGGCACAAGCCAGGCACAGCCCCTGACCACTGTCGGGTGTTAGTCCCAAAGAAAATAGCAGTGCTGGGGCAGAGAGAGCAAAGAAGACATTAGGATCCAAAACACAAGGGACATCCCTCCGCAGTGTGGCCCTTCTGTCCCCCACCCCGGGAGTAACGCCTGCTGGAAGGTTTGTACCCCAGTGCCTCCTTGGAGCAATTCTAGACTAACTCAGCTGAACCTTCTGCAACTTGAACCTCCCTCCAGGAAAGGCGAGCACTGTTTTGAGGTTCCCTGGGGTTCACATTTTGAAAGTTACAGACATTCATGATGTTATTATTTTTCTTCTTCTGAAAGTGCCAAATTCAAGTTTGCTCACAGTCTTCCACGTTGGTTTTCAACATCATGCAAACTGGAGGGGTGACTTGATCACCGGGATGTCCTTTCAGAAGGGATGGGGCCAGAGGAAGGTTCAGTGGGTTGGAGCACTTAAGAAGGCTCAGTTTGACCTCGGCTCCTCATGGTCTCTGCCAGAAGTGTCCCCTGAGCACGAGTTGGGTAGCCTCTGAGCACTATGGGGTGTAGTTCCCAAACAAATAGATAAAAAGTGGCAGGTTCCTGGGCGTTGCCTAACATTAATGAAATCTGAATCTCAGAGTGAGGATCAGACATTAGTATATTTGACACTATTTGCTCATTAGTTATAGTGTTTATTTCATTTAGATTTTTTTCATTTTTTATAATTTTATTTATTGAATCACCATGAGAGCAGTTACAAAGCTTTTGGGTCTAAGTCTTGGTCATACAATGAAACAGCCATACCTTCACCAGTGCCCATTCTCCACCCACAACAATTCCAGGATACCCCCATCCCATACCCTCCCCCTGCCTATGGGGCAGATGACTTCCACATTACACTCTCTCTCTACTTTGATCACATTCAATATTTTGACACCAGACCCACCATTTTTATTTGAGATTTTACCCCAAAACTCAGATTTGCTGAAAATGCAACAGTAGACAATTTGTTTTCTATTGCTGGTTATGAATAACATATGATGTCACGTGGCTGCAGTAGTGGCCACGTGATTTTGAAATTCCAAAATTTTAACACTTAAATCTGGAGGGATTTCTGCCAAAACCTGCTGGGTTCCGAGATTTGCTCCTGAGTCTCTGGGATCATGGCTGTTGAGCAGCTTGATCAGGAGCCAAAAAGGCTGTTTGTGGGTGATGACTTGGAGTCTCGTTGGAATGAGGAGGACAGGACCGGCTCCACCCCCATCCCGTGAGGCCCAACATGTCTCGTCACTGTGGGCCCAAACCTGACTGTCCAATGGCTCTGGAGGATGGCGGCCACTGAGCCACCGGGGGAAGTAGGTGGAGGTACAATACCCTTTCCCTCCTGGGGTGGCCCAACAACAGTAACCTACTGCGTGGTCGAGATGCATTTCTGCCAAAAGCCACTGGGTTTCGAGATTTGTTTCTGAGTATCTGGGATCATGGCCATTAAGCAGCTTGATCAGGAGCCAGAGAGGCCGTTTGTGGGCAATGACTTGGGGTCTCGTTGGGATGGGGAGGACAGACAGGACCAGCTCCACGCCTATCCCATGAGGCCCAACAAGTTTTGTCACTGTGGACCCAAGCCTGACTGTTCAATGGCCTCTGGAGGATGACGGCCACCGAGCCGCCAAGGGGGAGCAGGCGGAGTGACAACACCCTTCTGCCCCTGTGGTGGCCCGGCGACAGTAACCTACTGTGGGGTCCGGAAGCATTTCTGCCAAAAGCCACTGGGTTTTGAGATTTGTTTCTGAGTCTCTGGGATCATTTACATTTTTAATGAACCTACAGTTGATTAAAAAAAAATAAGCTTTTGTGTCTAATTTCAAACACTTGCATGTATTATCTAGCAATCTTACTGCAGTATATTTCCTGTGGGCATTGGTGAGATTAACTGGGTGGTTATTTTGCACTAAGTGCATTCCGATGTACATTTAAAACTAAGAACAGTTTATCTGCCAGTTATATCTCAGTTTAAAATGGGATTCCTACTCTTGTCTCTCTTCCTGTATTGTCATATACCTTTTTGATATTATATAAATCCCATAATGTACTTCTGCATATTTTCATGGATTTTTCAAAGAAGTTAAGAGAAAACTCTCACTTTCATTTTGTCCATGTGCTGGGACTCCTCTGTAACCTCATTCTCACCTGCACATCCAACAAATGTTTGTCTGGAACATTCTGTGGCACCCAGCGTAGGCTAAGGGAGGACCAGCTGGAGGCACAGTGTCCCCTGGGGCTTCAGACACCCAGCCAGTCTGGCTGACACCCATTGGCACAGTATCCTCTGGGGCTGCAGACACCCAGTCATTCTATACTAAAACATTACCCCAAATTGGCTTTGAATAATTTTTAAAATTGTAGCTAACCTCTTGTCAATTTCTCTATTTACCTGTGCCTGGACCAAGGTGATGTATTAGGTGTATCTCACTTGCTTGGGGAGATTGTCCTGGCTGGGATTCACTTTAGTTTGTTGCCTATGACCTCAGGTCTCTGAGACAAGCAAGAAGAATTACAGTTTTATAAATCATCCAGATTTGTTTTACTAGTGTGCGGTTACATTTTCATAGCTATCTGTTTTTTAATCAGAAGCCTAAGCTTCTATGAATTAGTATATTTCAAGGTCCTATGTATTTTTACTAACCAAATGGAAAACTTACAGAGCAAAAGTTTCTGAGCCAGCGAATCTGCTTTATAGGTAGACTGTTAGAATTTTTAATATTATAAAACCAAGGCTTAATAGAGTTTTCTGCTGTCTTCATAAATGAACAAGTATTTACAATAAAGGCAGTCCGATATCTCTCTATCTAGGTTTCTCGGCTTCTTCCAGTTAGCCAACAGTCTATAACTGCCTCTTGTTCCTTGGTCACATATTTGCTGTCAAATCATCCTGAGAAGGGCTTCCCAGGTTCCCAGTCTCAGTCTTGCCAACTGAGACTTCTCTCAGTGTCACTGTGGAGAAGTCGAGCACTGGACTGTGAGCAGAGGGCCTGCCCTGTCTTGCTGATTGACGACTTTCCCTTGGCAGAACCGTATCGCCAAGCGCAGCAGGAAGCTGGTGGACTACGACAGCGCGCGCCACCACCTGGAGGCACTGCAGAGCGCCAAGAGGAAGGACGAGAGCCGTATCTCAAAGGTGGGTCTGGCCCACTATGCAGCTTGGCTTCGGAAAATTCAGTATTTCATTTGTCAAGGTGGCTGTTGCCAGGACAGAATCTCAGCCAAAACACGAGGTGCTTGGGGCCTGCCTTTCATTGTTCTTAATTCAAATCAGGCTTTTCCCATTATTGTGAAAGTCATGGGAGTGACACCCACTCAGATATTTCGATCAGAGCCAGCCTTGTGCAGCCTTGTGCAGGCTAACAGAACTGTGCTCCTGCACTTTTGGGGGTTTTTGTTTGTATTTTGTTTGGGGGCCACACCTAAGTTCCCTGGACTTAACTCCTGGCTCTGCACACACAGATCCGTCCTGGTGGGGCTCGAGTGATCATATCTGGTACCAGGGATGGAAACCAGGTTGGCCATATGCCAGACTAATGCCTTACCTGCTGTGTATATATCTACACTGCTTATTTGGTGGATGTGGTATCTGAGGTCAGAAGGATTCTCAGGCTCATCTGGTTAGAGAGGCAGAAGCCAAGCCCAAGGAAAACTACTATTGTGCATTATAGTACATCCTTCACCTCTTCTTTAGCAATCATTTGTTGATTAGTCAAGACTTAGCAAGTTAACATATCTTCCCTGTGGGACTTTCTCTGTTCTCTGCACAAGTCCTTTCATAGAACGTATCCGTGCAGATGATAAGGTTCCCTTTGTGTTCTCAGTTTTGGACTCCCTCTGGACTGGGAATTTCTTGTGGTAAGTAACCCCACACTGAATCAGGAACAGAGCTGTGGACGTGAAGTTCCCAAAGAACAGAAGAATGATCAGTGTGATCATTACATTTTCCCTGTTTTGATAAAATTTAAATAATTTGCTATTATTGAAAGAGGTCCTGTAGATTTTAATGATATTTCTCTCTTCCCCCAAAATTTTTCCAGGACTCCACAAAGCTACCTTTCTCTTATTTTAATGATACTGAGTGCAACAAATGGTTTGTGGCTTTGTGCTGTTCTTTAGTGTATAATATATTTATGTCACTTCTAGGCAGAAGAAGAATTTCAGAAAGCCCAGAAAGTGTTTGAAGAGTTTAACGTCGATTTACAGGAAGAGCTGCCTTCACTGTGGTCAAGGTAAAAGTATTTCTGTTTGGGATATATGTGGCACTTTTAGAAGTTCAGGAATAGTCCATCTGTTTTATCTTAGTCTACTTTCTGTGATGCTTCATCGAGGTTCTGTGGAAGTGTTCAGTGACCTCTGCTTCCATCGTGGTAGTGATAGGCCCCATTTAGGTGGGTAATGACCACTTGGAATTAGGCTGTGACCAGAGAACAGAAGTTGGAATAGATTTGTTTTGTTTCTGCTTGTTTAAGCTTAATGCCAGATGACTGCCAGCATCTTGGATAGATTGTCCTTAACATTAAAAATCTGCTGTCTTGGGGGAACGTCATTTATTCCAGAACTCATCAAATTTTCTGACACTGGTGCCATAACTCTGCTTCCATCCCTGTCAATCTCAGCTTTGTTTCTGTCTTAGGCACTGTTACTTTTATTTACCAGTATTATGCAGTCCTCATACATACACTTTCTATTTCTCTTCACATTCAATGCTTCTTATTCATAGGCATTTGATTTCTCTGTCGTCTTGTGGTTTTCTACTCATTGATAGAACCAGAAGTTGTGTGAAAGTGGAACATTGTGTCTCTCAGTTTTTATTAACACACCTGTGCTGCTACCCAAAGAAACAGAATTATATATGCAGTGTAGTGTGGCTTTACCTTAAATCTTCTAGCTCAAATTTTAACCAGACCTTGCCCTTAAAATTTTCTTACATAAGGGCCAGAGAGATCGTGCAATAGGTATGACACTTTCTAGGTGTAATCCCTGAACTGAGATTCAGGAGTATGCCATGAACACAGGCAGCTGTGGCCCCAAAATAAAAACTCAAAACAAAAACATTCCTACATAGAAAATTCTAGAGCTATTAGTTATCTTTTACAATTATAAGCATCTTCAGGGGCCAGACTGGATTTGTTAATTTCTGTGTTTGCCACCAATGTTCTCAGATTTGTTTTGTTTGGGGGCCACACTCAGCAGTGCTCAGGTCTCACTCCTGGCTCTGTTCTCAGGCCTGACTCCTGGTGGGCCTCAGCGTTACTATCTGTGGTGCTAGGAATCGCACCGAGTTTGGTCACATATAAGGTACATGCTCTGCCTGCTGTACTATCTCTCTAGCCTTGTGCTCAATTTTTTTCAGACTTAGGAACCCACTGTTATTCTTGAACTTACTTTCAAACTCCCTAGAGAAAAATTTCAGCATATAGTTATAAATAGTTTATGCTGTTTTTCACTCTAAAATGAGCTTTTGGGGTCACGTCCAGCTGTAACCCAAGCTTCTGCCTCTATGAAATAAACTCATTGTTCATCCATATTACTTATTCTTCCAGTGCTACCTTTCTCTCCTTTGGCCTGTCATTTCTTGACTCCTGGTGCCCAAGTTTTATGACCTTCACTGGGGGAAGTAAAGGATCCATCAGGCTATCTCTTTTGGTGTTAGCTTCTGAATTGACCTCTCCCCCTTTATCCACAAAGCACAAAGCCATAGTCTTTGCTCTTTTCCTTCTCCTGTGGATTATGTTGATGGCATTACCATCTCATAGGATTTTCGCATTTGACCTTATCCTGTAGATCTTTTCATTCAAAATTTCTACCTTGGGACTGGAGCTGTAGGACATTTGCCTTGCATGCAGCTGACCCAGGTTTGATCCCTGGCATCCCATATGGTCCCTCGAGCACCACCAGGAGTAATTCTGAGTGAGAGCCAGAAGTAACCCCTGAGCATCAACAGGTGTGACCCCCCCCCAAAAAAAAGACAAAAAAACTGTTACCTTGACATGTCAGTGGTCTGCTTCAGAACTCACTCAGTGTGTCCAGAGAGCGTCTCTCCTCTAGTGAGGGTTTTAAATTACTTGAATATATAAATTTTTAGGGACACAAATATTATATCAAAATTTTCATATTATTCAGATATTAATGTTTACTTATAATACATGAAGTTATGTCTTAAATGTTTTTATTATAGTTTAGATAATGGGATTATGATGGTGTTCAAATTTAAAATACTGATGCACAAAGTTAGAGCATACTAGTGTCATTGATGTGCCTCTGACCCTTGACCCCTGGCCTATGCCGCCTCTGGTCTGAGCTTTCCTCCCTATTCATCGCCCATTGTTTTTGATTGAAGCTGCTGGCTTAGTGTACAGCGTTACCTTCCTCTTCACCACCCTCTACTCCAAACCCTCCATTTCTGTTCCCATATTGATTTCCTTCAACGAATTCTTCCCTTGGCCCTTCCCCCCACTATCCACCATTTTTACTGATTGTTGTTGTCCATACCCGGGATTTGTTTGTCTCTATAATATAGATGAATGAGATCATACTATATTTGTCCATCTGCCCTCTGGTTTATTTCACTCAGCACATTACCATCCAGTTTCATTGAACTGTATGACTATTTTTTCCTGAACTAAGGGTGCAAGTGGGCAAAATGCAGTTCATTTCTTTGTCCATTCATCTGTTGGAAATTTCGGTTGCTTCCATGTTCTGGCTGTCCTGTGTCCTGTGAGAAACATAAGTGTGGTATTACATCTTTTCAAATTAATGTGTTTGTGTTTTGAGGAGTAGATATTCGTCATTGATAGAGATGGGTCAAATGGGAGCTCCATTGTTTGGTTTTGAAGGAATCTTCATATATTTTTTTCATAAGGGCTTTATCAGATGACATTCTCATCTACATTGGAAGTTTTTTGCCGTATCCCCACCACTCTGGTTGTTTTTGTTTGCAGTATGCCAATCCCACTGATATGAGCTGATGTCTCACTGGTGATTTGATTAGCATTTGATGGCAATTTATCACCTGATGATAAATGATGAAGAGCATTTTCTCATATGCCTCCTGGCCAGCTGTATGTCTCTTTTTTAGGAAGTGTCTATTCTCTTCTCCTCCACTTTTAAATGTTTATTTTTAAGTTCACAAGTATTTTATCTATACTAGATACTTACCATTTTTCAGATGAGTGGTAGGCAAATACTTTCCCTCACTCTATGGAGTGTCTTTTTATTCTAATCATCATTTCTTTTGTGGTGCAGACACATCTTTATTTGATGCTGTCCCATTCATTTATCTTTGTTTCCGTTTGCTTTACAAGTTTTAGAGACTGCAGTGAATCTATATAGTTCTTTGATAATATTAAATCTTCCAATCTATGTCTAGGGACTATTTCCATTTACTTGTATTTTCTTTTATTTCTTTAACAATTTTTTTGTTCTGTATAACCCGACATCTCTTTTCTAAGCTGATTCTCAAGTCCTTGATATCTTGGTGCAGTTGGGGAGGTTTTTCTGTTTGTTTGATCTTCAGAAAGGGTTGAGTGTTATCATATTTAGTCCTTCTAGTTATGAAATAGTGCCAGACACAGTAACAACAAAGTCTCCAATGGAGACGCTACTGGGCCTGCTCGAGCAAATCGATGATCAACGGGAGGGCCTATGAAATAGTAGTACAAGAAAAATGTTCCAAATTTCCAAAAGATAATTATTATTTGCCTTTCTGTTGGATATGTAATGAGTTATATCTAGTATTATCTATACACATCTAACTCTAGCATCGACCAATATCATTTTAGGCTTTTGTGTCCTCCATAAATAGTATTTATGTGGTTATTATTCAAAATAAAATAATTATAGAGATCTTTGTAAGATGAAAGAGAAACAGAGTAGGAGTATTTGAGGGACATGTTTTGAAGAGACATTCTTACTGATCTAGTTATATAGAGTATAAATGCTTTAGCTTTTTTATATACAGTCTAATTTCTTACTATGACACTACAAGTTCTTTATGGTTCATTCAGACTACATCATTGGATTATATCCTATGATGAATACCATCTAATAATACCCTTTACTGTATAATGTGTGTGTGTTTGTAGGAGATTATTTTTTGAACTTTCTGCTTGCCAGGTATTATTTAATGTAGTTTACACACATAATATGTATTTATCAAAATTACAGATATCCTTGTTTTACATATGAAGAATTAAGGGATCATATTAAATCTTTTACCTAATATTATGAAATTTATTCATTCCAAAAATTAGCATTTAAGACACTTTTGTGTAAATCCTGCCATGTATATTCTCTCAAATAGTGCTCTGTGTGGGCACTCAAAAATAGTTATTTTGCACAATTATTTTATAAATATACACATTTTCCTCCCAACAATATTAGTTCGCCTCAAAATTAAACTTGTCATTTCTGTACATTTTTCCTCTCCCGGTGAAGGCCACGACCCAGGACATAGAGCAGTGCGAATTTCTTAGCTGACTGATGCATAAAACCCTGCAGCAGACTCACGATGGCCGCCAGTGTGGGGTGGAGTGTTCTGCATGCCGATTTAATCCATTGATTTATTGACTTTCTCTCCCATTATTTTGGTCCTTGAGTTCTCCAGCTATTATTGATGAATTGTCTCTATATAACTTTAGTTCTTTTAGCTTATGCTTCATGCATTTGGGGGCTTTGTTACATCTGTATATTCATAATTTTACCTTTTCTTTATATATTCACCATTTTATCTTATAAAATGTTCTCCTTTTGTCTATAGTAGTACATTTTGTATATTTTGCTGGGCTGGAGCGATAGCACAGCGGGTAGGGCGTTTGCCTTGCACGCAGCCAACATGGCCGACCTGAGTTCGATTCCTCCGCCCCTCTCGGAGAGCCCGGCAAGCTACTGAGAGTATCTTGCCCACACGGCAGAGCCTGGCAAGCTACCCATGACGTATTCAATATGCCAAACACAGTAACAACAAGTCTCACAATGGAGACGTTACTGGGCCCGCTCGAGCAAATCGATGAACAACGGGAGGACCGTGACCATGACCAGTCAGGTAATATAGCCGTTTCCGTTTTTTTTTAGTTGCTCTTAGGATAAAGAAAGTTTCTTTTATTTTAAACTTATTTAAGACTGGGAATAGAAGGTGTTTTCTTTTGTGAACAGTCTTTATGTGGATGCTGTGTGTGTGTGTGTGTGTTGTGTGTGTGTGTGTGTGTGTTGGGGGAGTTTATCCATGTGT